CCAGGTACGGTCTGTACGAGTTTGTGGTGATGCCCTTTGGCCTATGCAATGCACCTGGTACATTCCAGCACGCGATGAACCGGATCTTTCATGACTACTTGGACAAGTTTATCGTCGTGTACCTCGACGATATTCTCATCTTTAATAGGATTGTAGAGGAGCACGTTGAGCACTTGAAAACAGTGCTAGGTCTCCTTAGACAGCACCAGTACAAAGTGAACTTGGATAAATGCGAGTTTGGTCGCACCAAGGTTCTGTACTTGGGTCATGAAATTTCAGCAGATGGATTGAGGTCGGAAGCTCCAAAGGTGGCCAGCATACGTGACTGGCCCAGACCTCAGACGGTTACTGAGGTCAGATCGTTTTTGGGGATGACAGGCTATTATCGTCCGTTTGTGAAGAACTATAGTACTATAGCTTCCCCATTAACGGATCTAACTCGACTTGACACCCCTTTGGAGTGGACTGCAGAGTGTGAAGCCAGCTTCAAGAAATTGAAGTATGATCTGACACACTATGAAGTTCTCAAACTTCCTGATCCTGACAAGCCGTTTGTTGTGACCAAAGACGCCAGCCAATATGGCATAGGCGCAGTCCTTGCGCAACAGGAAGGGCCCAAGTTGAGACCAATCGAGTACATGAGCAAGAAGATGCCATCTCAGAAGTTGGCCAAGTCCACTTATGAGAGAGAGCTCTGCGCCCTGTATAGAGCGCTAGTTCATTGGAGACACTACCTCCTAGGAAGATTCTTCTATGTGAGGTCGGACCATGAGACTTTGCGCTGGATCAAGACACAACAAGTCTTGTCGGACGCACTCAAGAGATGGATTCAAGTGATCGACATGTATGACTATCAACTTGATCCTATCAAGGGTACGTACGACAAAGTGGCTGATGCGCTACCAAGAAGGGCAGATTATCTGGGCGCGCTAGTAACTGAGTTTGGCATATCTAATGACCTCACTCGATCGTTGGTGGAAGCCTATCAGGGAGACCCAGTCATGTCAGAGATCATTCGTAGTTTCAAGGCAAAGGATAAAAAGACTTTGGACGAATTTACGATGGTAGACGGCTTGCTGTTCCTTGATAAGGTAGGGAATAGAAGACCAGGTGTTGCTAATAGCGAATCTTTGCGTAGTTTATTTTTAGGAGAGTGTCACGATGCAACGGGTCATTTTGGCTATAAGAAGACAACAACAAACTTAGTTCAGAGATTTTGATGGCCCTCTATGATGGAAGATGCAAAACGATATGTTGAAACCTGCCAGGTTTGCCAGGACAAACCAAGGACTCAGGCTTCGCTTGGGCTCATCAAGCCCTTGCCGATTCCTGAAGGTCCTGGTCAAAGTGTGTCCATGGAATTCATGGATACCCTTGTGACCAGTAAGTCTGGAAAGAGACACATCTTCGTAATAGTGGACCGTTTTACTAAGTACGCAAGACTAATCGCTGTGCCAGAAACAGCTAAAACTGACCACGTCATCAAACTGTTTATGGACAATTGGGTTCGTGATTTCGGTTTGCCTGCGTCTATCGTTAATGATAGGGATGTCAGGTTCACAAGTGAACTGTGGCAGTCAACTGCTGAGCAAATGGGCACAAAGCTCCAGATGACGTCAGGGGATCACCCTGAGTCAAATGGCCAAGCAGAACAGATGAACCGGGTAGTGCAGCACTTGCTTAGGCATTATATTAAGCCAAGCCAGGATGACTGGGACGAGACGTTACCTCTCGTCGCCAGCCTGTACAACAATGTTGTGCACAGCACCACCGGTATGACTCCCAACCAGTTACATCTTGGTTGGAAGCCCAGATCTGCGCTCGACTTTCTGTTACCAGAAAGGCAACCTACTGCAGCACCTGGCAGCATAGAGTTTGTTGTCAAGTATGAACAGATGCTGCAGCAGGCCATAGAACACATTTAGAAGTCTCAAGATGCTATGATTGCATCTGAGAACAAACAAAGACGGCCTTCCAACTTTCAGGTAGGTGAGAGAGTCTGGGTAAAATCATCTGAACTGGGACAAGAGATAGGGATCTCAAGAAAGTTGATGCCTCAGTACTTCGGCCCCTGGGAGATCTTAGATATTGTAGGAGATCAACCTGATGGGCCTTCATACGTGATTCGCATCCCTGCACACCTACGGACTTATCCTGTTTTCCATGCCTCCAAGCTGGCACCTTTTGCTGCCACAGATCTGTTTCCCTCTCGGAGATCTATGCTGCCCCCAACCATGGATGGCGAAGTGGACATTGAC